CCTCCATCTCTCTGTTGCTCTTTCCCTTACTCATTTCTCTAGTCGCGCACACACCTTTTTTTTGTGGAATGCTTTGTCTGACTATTGAATTTTGTGCAGGAATAATACGCTTGGATTATGTCAGTGCGAAGAGGATGATTGGAAAAATCTTCAGAAAGGGTTATGGAGCTCTGTCATGTCGCCTTACGATGAAAAATATGTCGATGTCAAGTTCATTGGCAAAATACCTGGCTCTGTCACCATAACTGTTGAAGAAGGTCTGTCAAAAATAAAATAATGTATGGCTGCCTATAATTGTTTATGCTACAATTTTCAGGCTTCAGTAATTATCTTAATTATGTCTATGCAGATTTTCAGAGATGGCGCCTTGTGTTTCTGGCATTGGGATTCACATTTCTATTGTTGGCACCAATTGTCAGCAGTTGGGTACCTTTTTATTATAGCAGTTCAATGATTATAGGAGTATTTCTGGTCATTATAATCATTCTCTTCCAGGTACTTTTTTTATGTGATTCCTATGTATTTTTGTTTTATTTGCATGCTCTTAGGTTTTCTTTGGGTAGTTTGAGTTTCAGATCTCCTCTAAAAAGAATTATAGTCACAGGGTTTTGTGATAATTATCTTTCACCTGCAGTTTTTAGCTTGCAACTTTGTAGAAAATGTTTTGCATTATTGTTTTCTTTAATCTTTTAGGGAATGAAGCTGTTGCCAACTGGAAGGAAAAATGTCCTCTATCTTACCATATATGGATCAGTGGTAACACTTGGTGTCTTGAATTTTACCGTTGCTTCAGAGTTTGTTAACCTCATATAATTTATAGTACTAGTAAATCTTACAATTTATTTGCCTTTGACAGCTTGGAGCAGGATCTTTCCTTGTTCATCAGTTTTCACTGATGGTAAATTCAATTCTTTTGAATTTTGGGCTAAGTGAGGAGATGCATAACCCAGTAAGTGTTGGTTCCCTTAATCTTACTTTCGCAAAATTCTCATAAATATCTAGGCAAATTATTTGCTTCTGATACTTTCTTTTTGGATCGTTGTATTGTCTTGGCTTCTTACCTTGTTGTGTTTTTCTGGTAGGTCTCAATATTTTTACTAGTGGGAATTATCCTTGCGGGAGCTGCATTAGGGTACTGGATTGTGAGGAAGTTTGTCGTCTCAAATGATGGGACAGTAGATGTTGGTATAGCACAATTTGTCAAGTGGGCTATGCGTATCATTGGAATCACCTCCATCTTGCAGGTGTTCTCTCGCATTCCTATTGGTTGTTCTTGATATTCATGACTAAATTGATTATTCTATAGTCTTTTGTTAAAGTTAGTTTTATAAATTGAATGTAATTGCCAAAATATTGTGTTATTGATTCTTTTCATTTCTCTTCTGTTATTAATATAAGCCTTTTCCACTCTTCATTATTTCTCAGAGCTCACTTGATACTCCTTTAGCAATGGGCGCTTTGGTTTCTTACTGGATTATCTGCAAGTTCTTTACTTCTCTGAAACGGCGTCTCAAATCGTAAGTCATACATTCTTTACCTGCGTAATTTCTTGGCATTACTGAAGTGAATGCATTTTAGCAGAAATATTTTTTTAACATTTGTGCGGACCTATATTTTTCTTGAAATAAGTTTAGATTTCTGGCTAGGTTTTGTATTTGGAAGGTAAAAATTAGTGGTCCAAGAAAGTTCAGTTAGATGAATGATGCTTCCCTGATCATTAATAAAGGGTTTTGTCACATTAAAACATCTTAGTATTATTCCATGCAGTCATCAGTCGGGTGCTGGGAGTGGGAGTCTTTGGCTGCAGAAGGGAAAACAGGTCAAGGGTAGACAAAGTCGTCCAGAATTTCTTAGCAGGTCTAGCCCACAAGAAAAGAGTTGGAACAGCCGAAAGAGTCTATCTGCTTGGTCTGACTCTCCTGTTAAAGGTATTTTTATTGTATTTGCTGTTACGTTTATACATATTTTGACTGATTTGTTGTTTCAACTACTCAGTAGTTGTTTTTTTATATACTTCAACAAAGAGTTTGGTTGGTTATTTGTTGTGGTTATTCAGAAAAAACTGCGTCGATATACTATCTTTGTTGTTTCGCTGAGTGCTTCATAAAAGTCTTTCACATTTGTGAAAAGTTCTGAACCGCAGTTTGACGCTTTAATTTTTGTTATTTGTCTCTGTTTGTTGCAGGTGTCATGACCCCATCCTCCAGGGCACCTAATCAACAGGAGTACTATTCAACCTTCCACGAGGTGCAGAACCGAAAGAAGTTCACAAAAAAAGAGTGGGATGATTTCACACACGAATCAACCCGCCAAGCTCTAGCAGAATGGGCAGCATCTCCTGAAGTCCCTAATTGGCTCATTGAGCATGCTGACCGCATACAGCTCCTTCCAAGCGAGAGTTCAGATGAAACTGTGGGAAGCGCATCAGATTCTACGGATGAGAATGTCGTGGGGAGCACAGATCGATTAGGTTTTCTTAAGTGGCAGTGACTGGCACAGAGTATCCTATTGACTATGGCATCTGCTATTTGAAGTTGGCTTAGGTTGTGTTCTGTAACTGTTGATGTAGGTCACACTAACTTGAACTGCCTTCTTGAAGGAATACGTAGAGAGCTGTATAGAACACCGTAGGAACGACGTAGTTAATTTTTTTGCACCAGTAAACGTTATAGTGAGCGACGTTTTTCTAAAACTAGTTAACCATGTCATTGGCAGAGCCTGTTGCGTATTTGCTTCAGTCCCGCAATGTTGAATTGAAGTGTGTTTTCACCCCTTTTTAAGTTTTAGCAGCCAACACATATTTATGTAAGAAACGGGATCTTGTGAATTATTATTTATATCTTGTTTATTTTATTTTATTTTTTATCAAAATTTATATCTTGTTTATTGGGAATATTTATATTTTGTTCAATAATTTTTATAATTCAATCAGTTTAAGTTAAATTTGGACATTTCGCTCTACTTTATTTCAGTTGGGTGGTTAAAAAGCAACATATGATTGTAGTAAAGGTGGGAATGCTTCGTTGAATGTGTGGGCACTCGAGAAAGGACATAATAAAAAATGAAAATATTTGAGGTAAAGTAGGAGTGGCTACAATTGAAATTAAGATGAGAGAAAATTAACTAAGGTGTTTTGGACAGTGAATTGAAGACTTACACTATGTTTGGATGAGGAAAATAAATTTGGATTTAGATAAAAGTCAGAATTTATAAATTGACACGCAACAATTCTCTTTTTTGAATTCATAAATATAGAAATTTAGAATTTCCACTTGAAAAAAAAAACTTGGAATTTGAGAACTCAATTCCCAAGTTTGGGAGGGTGTAGTCAATTTGGATTTCATAGGATTTTAATGGACTATTTTAAGTGACAAATCTCAAAGGATTTTAATGGACTTTATAATTCTATATAGATTTTGGAAGATTTGTATAGATTTATATTATAGATTTCTATGGATTTGTATGAATTTTTTCATGGATTTCTTAGGATTTTTATTTGACTTCTCGTACATAAAATGAATTTCTTTCTTAGTACACAATCTAAAACATATATGATATCAAAATACAAACCAATACAATATATTTTTACTTTTCTCACTTGAATTATAATATTTTTTATGAAATTTTTAACAAACCAAAACATAGATCATTGATGGTTTCAGATGACATCTAGATCAAGCTAAATTCCAACCGATCGAACCCAACCCAAGCATACAAAATTATCTTTGCTCCAGTAGCTAACAACTCCAAGTACAATACAAAAATACTATTGAATCCTAAAAAAGCTCATCTTTTTGTTGTTGTAGCTTCCAAAACTGAAAAACTCGCAACCCAATTCACCATTTTTCACTTCAGCACCCAAGTTACTCAAAACCCCAACATCCCATACTCCAATCCCTCCAAACCCTCCATTTTCCCACGGTTTCCGACATTTTCTAGGCTACCAAACAGAGTTAAAACACACAACTAAACGAATAGGGACAAAAAAAAGGAGGAGAAGTAATATACACATAGCAGAATAGGGAATGGAGATTTTGTGGGGGTTGAATTTGTGGTGAGATTTTGGATTTGGTGGATATATTTTTAGGAAATAAAGGAACTTTGTATGCCGTATTCTTTTCTTGAGAGATGGTTCGTCCTCTTCTTTTTTTGAGAGATGATTCGTCTTCTTCTCCAGAGAGAAGAAAAGAAATCCTAGGGGTGGAGATTGGATTGTTTAAGGTGTTTAGTATTTATATCACCCACTCTCAAATCTATCAAAATCCCTAGTTTATTAAAATCCTAGCAAATTTTCGATATTTTCACTATACTTAAGATTCTTGTGGACTTTTTAAAATCGTAATTGATTACCCATGTATTTTGATATATTCTTTAAAATCCTAATTTGACCACACTATGATTTCAAAATCTTTTAAAATCCTCTTTTAAAATCTAATTGACTACACCTAGATTTTAAAGTTTATTAAAATATTAGCAAGTCCTATCAAATCCTAATTTGACTACACCCCCTTAATTTCCATGTAAATAAGTGTCATTCCTAATTTGTATGATTGAGAGTTTAAAAATAACAAATTACGTATTCAATTCAATTGTTTTTTTAGGTCAACCAAACAAGAAAATTCACAAATTTTAGAAAATAAAATCCCGTCATTTTAAAATTCCTTAGTAATCTTAAATTTCTTCATCAAAACATAGTGTTATAGATGTTCCGATTATAAAATACAACTTTAAGTCGTACAGATGAAGATTTGGAAAGAGAGATAAAAATAGATATGGAGTTTAACGAAAGATTTTGCATAAACTTGAACGCAGTGGTGTTTTAAAATTTATAGAATCGACCCTAGTGTAAGGTTATTGTAGTTGCTGCATATTTTTATTTTGGGAGTATTGATGAAACACTCTTTTGTCATTTTAATTAAAAATCAAAGTTTTCAAACATTTTTCGATAATTTTATATTTATTTTTTGGTCTCTACAGAATTCGCCCGTGGACTCAACGGGAAAACCCTCCTAAACCCCAACATTTCATTTTGCCACTCCCAACACTCCAAAATGTTCCTCCAGAGGCAGCGCGCCTCCGTGCTCACCCAAGCCCTCCAAATCCAACTCCGCCGATACACCCAATCGTCCGCCGCCGTCCTCCTCCAACCGGACCCCGAACTCGAATCCACCACCTCCTTCCCGATACCCGACCCGAAGTACGCCGAGACCATCTTCGCAGTCCCACGCACCACTTCCGGCAAAAGCATCTCCGCCAAAGAGCGCAAGGCCGGCCGCGTCCCCAGTATCATCTTCGAGCAGGAGGACGGCCAGCACGGCGGCAACAAGCGCCTCGTTTCTGTACGGACCAACCAGATCCGCAAGCTCGTCGGTCATCTCGGTCGCTCTTTCTTCCTCTCCAGGCTCTTTGACCTTGAGGTTCGCTCCGACTTCGATTCTGAAAACGACGTCATTGAGAGGGTCCGTGTTTTGCCTCGCTCGGTATGTAGTCTTTCACTCTGCAGTCTCTAACAACTTCAACAAATTTGATCCAATTTAAATAAACTTAATTTAATTGCTGCCATGGTTTATCAAATGTAGTGTTTTTTTTGTTAGATTCATCTGCACTCTGCGACGGACGCACCGCTGAATGTGACCTTCATAAGGGCTCCTTCCCATGCTTTGTTGAAAGTCGATATTCCCCTTGTGTTTCGAGGAGACGATGTCTCTCCTGGATTGAAGAAAAGTAAAATAAATCACCTTTTTCTATCTGTCGTATGGGATTTCATTTGTTTCATTTCGTTGTTGCGAATTCCTGGTTGCAATTTCTGTTTCTATCTTCTCGTTGTGTATGCCATGCTTTGATCCAACATTGCCTCCATTCTGTTGTGCATATAACAAACTGTTGTAGTTAGCAAAGTAGGATACTTGGTCTCATTCGGATTATATCCCACTGTTCCTTTCTCATAATTCCATTTTCGTGTTACTGGGTTTTCATGTGCATTAGAGACGTATATAGAAAAGAAGAATACAGGGGTTTGTTTTGATCACAACATGGCATCCAGATATCATCAGATTTTAGATTTAGTTCAGGTTTATTACGAGCCTTATGTGGACATGGAACCTTGTGAAATCTTAAATGCTTCGAGAATTTATGTGGGAAGTCATTGTTTCTTGCAAAAGATTATGAAAGGATTGGAAGTTTTTGTCTCAAAGTTGTAATTCCTGACATTGGTGTTTGAGCATACAAAGCTTTTGTTGTGGAGTATGTTATTGGTCAAATCCATAACTAAATTAGGTTGAAAAGTTCCGGAAAGTGTTAGGGATTATACAAGGATTTTGTCAAACTAAAAAAGTTTCGCTTTCATGGAAACAGTTTTCACCGTATTCCATTTCCAAGAGTTGAGTTGCATCTAAGTTTTTGAAGGTTGTTCTTCATATTGATTTTGGTAGATTGCTTTCTGTGTTATAGCATTTTCGAATCATGGATATGAAGGTTAAGTTCAAAATAGTTTGCGGGTCAGGTAAATTAGAGATTTAATTATAGAGGGAAGGGTCTTAATTTATGGCTTTTGTTGTACTCAGAATCTAGTTTGCTGTTTTGGTTACTCTTGATCAGTTTTCATTCTTAAGTTAAACCGTGACATTTTTACAATTTGGCAGATGGTTGTCTAAACACAATCAAGAGGACCGTAAAGTTCCTTTGTCCGGCTGATGTGATTCCTCCATATATTGATGTGGATCTGAGTGAGTTGGATGTTAACCAAAAGATAGTAATGGGAGATCTCAAAGTTCATCCAGATCTCAAGCTTCTGCAGTCAAAGAATGAGCCTGTTTGTAAGATCGCGGGAGCAAGGGTTTCTGAACAAAAGAAGTCTAAAGACAAAGACTCTAAATAATTTCTGTGCTTGGAGACTTTGGTTGCCCCTTATTAAGAAAACAGGCTTCCGCCATTATATATCCCTTCTCAGCTGACCGCATATCTTTTGATCTTGTAATGGCTGTGGAAGACAAGTTGATGGAATGCAACTGTGAGTTTTCATCCTCTTTTTCGTAATTGTTTGTGGGTATATTTAACTTTTGGTGGGGGAAAATGTGGTTTGCGGGTGAAGCATGCCATTAGAGAGAGGAAGAACTGGTTCTGCTTCGTGATTCTTGTGAATCTGAGCCCGAATTCTATGATAATAAGAATGGTAGTTTCTGAATGCGTGTCAATATATAGGCACTTGGATTTTGTAAGTGTTCTAAATAATTATTGTTTGCAATAAAAATATGACGAAAAACATGTCACAATTTTACAATTGTTGTCTCTTCCTTTACGTATAAGATAATGCGTTGCGTCATCTATTTCAATCAGATTTAAGATACCAAACAAGAAGAGTTATTGAGCTTTTGTAGACAAATTTAGTATAATAATAGCCCAATGGTAACCATGAATTTGAGCCAAATAAGATCCAAGCCCTTTTCTTCAAGGCCCAAACTTTGAAGCTTTTCCTCCCTCGTTAAGAAATTGTCTCTTTGGAATTTGGAAAAGCTCCTCTACTTTTTATTTCGAAAATCAGAGAGAGAAAGTAATGAGTGTGCGAAGCAATGGGCTATTCTCCCTCCTCTGCCACTCTGCTCCTCCTCTTCGCTTTCTGTCTCTCTCTTCCGACCCTTACACCTGCCACCGACCTCAAGGGTATCTATCTCTCTATCGTTGCTCCCATTCATTCCCTTCCTGCCTTCAATTCGTGTTCAGTGTTTATGGGCCTATTGGGGAAATTTGGAAAAATAACCAAATTTCGAGTCCCAAATAGAATTCTAACCACCATTTTAAATTTTTAATAATTATAACCAAAAGTTGGTATGAAAATACTAATACACTCTTAAAATAGAGTTTTCTAAAAAAAAACCAAAAAACAAAAGGCTCGGCTGTCTTTTATCGCTATCTCTGTCATTTCTAGACGATAATCCAAAACCACATAAACCCAACCCACGCACAGCCAGCCATGGTGTGTAGCACAATCCCTCTTTCTTCCTCCTCTTCCTCTTTTATACTCTCACACACAACCTTCGTTTAGTTCTGAACCCCTAAATTTTTTTCGACCTCCTCCACATGAAGACGACTTTCATTCTCAGTCTTGGTCAGCTTCCTCCTCTGCTCTCCAATTTCTGATTTTCAACTATGACGATGTAATTCTTGAGTTTGAGCACTTGCACCACCAAGCTTACAATGAGGCCTTCACCTACTTTAGTGTCTGCTACCCTTCCTCAACATCTCAGCCCCTCAATTGGGACCTCCACTTCTAAGCTCAGCTCCAAAACCAAATCGTTGGTGAAAAGCCCAAAATGCAAAGGTCCCTTCTCTTTTTCTCTTATTTTCTCCAAAGGTTGAACTTTGGATTTTGTTTTCTTCTATGATTGAATTGGGGTATTGGGTTTTTTAAGGAACTTCAAGGAGCACGGGTGGCTTTGAACTTATTCAATTCTACTGCTCGAATCTTTTGATCTTAATTGAATCTTGCTTTGTTTAATTTCCATGGATGACATTTTTTTTTTGAGAAATTTTATTTGAAGAGTGTATTAGTACTTTCATATCAACTTTTAGTTATAATTATTATAAATTTAAAAAAGTGGCTAGAATTCTATTTAAGGTCCAAAATTTGGTTAGTTTTCCAAATTTCCCGGCGTATTGCCGACTGTTTGGTTTCCGAGAAAATTTTAGGAAAATCAATGAAGTTTTGATGTTTGATCATGTGGGTTGTTTACTTATTTCCATTTTAATAGAGAAAAACTTGAGCTTTGACTTGCTCTGCATTTATTCGCTGTGAAAATTATTACGTTTTAATCTCCACTTTTGTTGTTTCTTTACTTGTAAGGAAGATAGAGGGTTAGGGTTTCGTTATGCCTGTTTAGGGTTTATTTGGGTTGCTGTATTGCTTGAGCGAAGTGTCAAGCTCTTAGCCGGTTAGGGTTTCAAAAATGTCGATTTTTCGGCCTTGAAAGTGAAAGGTTTCAATATTCTAGGTCAGCGTGATGCCCTTTGGGGTTGGATCTGATAAAGTATATTGCAACTTACCGGTCGCTGTCGCTATGATTTTGAGTTTTTAATCTGCTATAGCTAAACAGTATGTCCATTGCATTTTTAGGGATTTGAATTTGAAGAGTTCGAATTTCTCTTTCGTTTCGCTGGTTTGTTGTATATTTGAAACTAACCTTTAGCAATATTGAAATCACAGGTGTTGATATTGAAAACCCAGTACTAGAAGATGTTTTATTTTGTGAACGGGCACGAGTTTCTGGGGTATCAAGGTTAAAACTTGGGAGTTTGCAAGTTCACTTAAGATCACTTGGTCTACATCTCTTGTAATCCCAGAGAGTTTGCATAGCAAAATTCAAGTCTGTTTTCATAGGTGAGTGAAATGTCTCATCTCTACTGTACAAGCATTTTGTTTTTTAGGATAATTGTGTTTTATTTATTCTGATTGAGTTATGAGTGCACTGTATGCCTACCCCTCCCTCCCTCCCTCTCTCTGTTGCTCTTTCCCTTACTCATTTATTCTGATTGAGTTATGAGTGAAATGTGTCATCTTTACTGTACAAGCTTTTTGATCAGTTTGCATTCTTAAGTTAAGGTCGTACCCAGTGCACAAGGCTCCCGCTTTACGCAGGGTCTGGGAGAGGTGAATGTCGGCTAGCCTTACCCCCATATATTGACGTGGATCTGAGTGAGTTGGATGTTAACCAAAAGATAGTAATGGGAGATCTCAAAGTTCATCCAGATATCAAGCTTCTGCAGTCGAAGGATGAGCCTGTTTGTAAGATCACGGGAGCAAGGGTTTCTGAACAAAAGAAGTGTAAAGACAAAGACTCTACATAATTGCTGTGGTTGGAGATTCTGGTTGCCCCTTATTAAGAAAACAGGTTTCCGCCATTATATATCCCTTCTCAGCTGACCGCATATATTTTGATCTTGTAATGGCCGTGGAAGACAAGTTGATGGAATGCAACTGTGAGTTTTCATCTTCTGTTTTGCAATTGTTTGTGGGTATATTTCACTTTCGGTGGGGGGAAAATGTGGTTTGGCGGTGAAGGATGCCATTAGAGAGAGGAAGAAACTGGTTCTGCTTTGTATTTCTTGTGAATCTGAGCCAGTATTCTATGATATTAAGAATGGTAGTTTCTGAATGTGTTGTCATTATCTATAGGCACTTGGATTTTGTGAGTGTTCTAAATAGGCACTTAGACAGATCAAAGATGTCGATTCGATTGCTTAATTTCTGTGTTTTTTTTTTTTCGAGCCCTCATCTGAAGTTGTTTGTAGTTCAACAGTTTTGGGCAAAAAAACTAGCAACAGATGTTTTGGGCAAATTCTGTTTTGGAAAATACAAAAATAATAATTACTCTTTAGGGACAGAAAAGAAGACCAGCTGGTAGCTTCGCCAATCCACTCACATATAAGTATTTCAACCCCTCCTTAACCACCATTGTGTGATTCATGATGTATTAAACAACACCTAAATATAAATTATAATATATTTATCATCGGCAAGACTCCTCTCCCTCCCATGTGAGAAATTTTTCTATGTGTTGAAACACAGCTTTGAAACACTAAGTATCATAATTAATCAGTTGGAAATTTTTTTTAAATTTTCCAACCAATTGTATTATTACACTTTGGTATACCAGATTTTATTCCGTCACATTGAAAAATCGGTACATCTTGAGACCACATAACTAAGGGCAAAGAAAACAGATAAATAATGGTTTCCATTGATTTTACGTCAATTAGGCTACTTAATTGTATTAGATTTAAAAGTTAATGATACCATACAATTGCAGAGGCAGACGAAGTCACATTAATTACCAAATTTAATTTCTTTTTCCCACATTATGAAATCGATTACAATACTTACACGTTGAAATAAAGGTTTTATTAAACTATGTAAGTATTATAGTCAAATCTCACATTATGAATCAGGTGTACGATCTTTTATTTCCCTCTCCTCATCACCTCTCACGCTTTCTTTTTTATCTATATCTTTTTATTTAAAAAAATATATAAAATATTAATGTGGCTTAATTCTGTTTAAATAGAAAAGAAGTGAGGAGATAAGAGATTAAGACGGGATAAAATGTTACTCCATAAATTAGGGCAAGGTAAAATTTCGCTTGTGTACGTAAACAAAAGGGTTATTGTCACTCAGTATTACTATCTAGTGATATTTATCTTCGTTTGAAAGTGAGAGATCTTAGATTCGAATCTCGTGAATGACGAATTTGATACCAAATTAGGTTATCTATTATGTAACTTAACCGAACTCTACCTCTCTTTAATGTAAAAATATTGATGTACTTAATAGAGTTTCTACAAATAAGTCCAAATCTCAATAAGGTGTTGGTGTGGGTGGTGATTAGAAAAAGAAGTTTACACCTTATTAAAAAAAAGGAAAGAAAAGTAATTAAAAGAAAAAGAAAAAAAAACTTTGAGAAGCATACCAAATCTGCTTCTTCCCCAAGCCAAAACACAATCCCAATTTCCCAGGGAAAATCCATCAATACCGCCAAAACCACACACCAATAGAACAAAAATCTCAGAAATCGCAAGAAATCTCAGAAAAAATCAATCGATTTCTCCAGTCCAAGGCTTTTGACCTGCTTTTGTTACTGCTTGAATTCTGAAATTGTAAAATTGGGAATCTGCAATCCCCAATTCGGAAACAGATGATATCCGGCAGGCAGAAGAGCAGCCGGTCTCTGGCGTCCCCGTCGAGCTCGCGCTTCGTGACGGAAACCGTTAACGGGTCCCACAACTTCGTCATCAAAGGGTATTCCTTGGCCAAAGGAATTGGGGTCGGAAAGCACATTGCCAGTGAGAATTTCACCGTCGGGGGGTTTCAATGGGCCATCTATTTTTACCCTGATGGTAAAAACCCTGAGGATAACTCCGCTTACGTCTCCGTCTTCATAGCCCTCGCCTCCGAGGGCACCGACGTCCGAGCTCTCTTCGAATTGACACTCGTTGATCAGGGTCCTAATGGCAAGCACAAGGTCCATAGCCACTTCGATCGCTCGCTCGAAAGTGGGCCTTACACCCTCAAGTATAGGGGCAGCATGTGGTGGGTAATTTCACTTTGCTAGTTTGTTGTTTTGGGTTCATTTCAATCTTTGATAATTCTCGCTAGTTCGATGCTTTACTTGATTAGAAAGAGTTTATGTATGTTGTGAATGAATGGGTTTTCACAATTTTTTGCTAATTCTATGCTTTACTCAATTGGAAATGAGTTTACGTATGTTGTTAATGAATGGTTTTTTTTCG